CAAGCACTCGACCATGGTTTCAATCCAGACCTACCCAACAAGGGCATACCACGTGTCCATCGTAACAGAAGAGTGGCATTTACAAAGCATGAACTGCAATATGTTTCTTTTTCTCCTAAACAAAATTGTTACTAAAATGGAACAAAAGGTCCCTAACATATAACAATACAAGCAAAGATAGTCAATTGTCATACACACAAAATTAGTCCTCATCCATCCCTGCAGGCTGATCTCTCTTACTAGGGCCACCTGCTGGTTTTGCCATTATAATCTACAAGATAGTCAAAGCATTGTCAACAACCTTTTTTTAATGAAGGTATTAAACATTAAATAGGCTGCAATCAGATAGATTCATCATTTCTCACACATTTTCAGCTAGCCAGAAAACCCCCAGCATATAGATTTTCTATTTACTATCAAGCCTTCTGCACTGAAGCCATATTCATTATAAAAGTTCAACATTTCCCAAAAGTAACTTTCAATTTTATTTTATTTTTCCAAGTTAAAAACTAACATTTGCGACCGTTCTTTTGAGTTATAAAGGAGTTTGTGTTCTGAGTACACACGGGCATACATGCATCTGTGCCAAGTTAGGGGAACGTTGAAAAAAAAATAAGAGAAAAAGACTTCACAAAAAGTATAAAAGTATAAAATTAAATAAATAAATAAAAAGAATAGTAAACTAATTCATAAAGCCTCGACTTTTTATTATTATTATTATTTTAAACTGTATGTAGTTTAGCATTTTTTCTGCTTTGGCCTCAAAGATGCAATCAGGGATTCAAAGATGTAGTTCATACCAAATTTGGTTCGTCAGGTTTAAGTAGAAGACCTGGATATGAAACTCTTACACTAGGCAGCACTTTACCCTGAGAATGATTTATATTCACTTCGTACCTTGTTAGGGTTGCTTGCCTGCATGCAATATAACCCCAAATATCAAATGTAGTTATAAAGCAGAGAAACAAATTATATAAAACAGGTCACTATTGAATGACATCATTCAAGACATCAGTGAAGCCTTACGTGTAAAGTTTTCCGCCTTATGTGTGCCCACAGTTAGAACAAGCAAGCCATGAGCATATGATAAAACTAAACTTTTACGTATCAAGTCTAAAAGAACAAATAATGTACAATAAGTAGGACCCTTTTTGCCAAAACAAAGCATATTGGAACCATATCAGCAAAGCAATAAGAATTGTCCAATTTGGAAATCTCCAACTCAATCACCAATGTCATAAATCAATATTAATAACAATTTCACGAATCAAGCACAATCTTGGATACTGCACTTCTGTTTCCCTGACTGGAACATGAGCAGAAAGCTTCTATTATGATCTACAGTAGCATAGGTGTCCTATAATTCAATCCACGTTATTTGTCTGAAAATGCACAAACTTAACAAGAGTCCGAGACTTCCAATTTACTAGTCACATAAGACTTCCAATCTCACTCTCCTTCTCCCCTTCCCC